TTACGGTGATAATCTGTTTCTTGTGCCCAATAATGCATAATTTCATTTGATAAACACGTTTAGATTGAATGGTAATTTATAATCAGTCACAAGAACGTCGAATCTGAATCACTTGAAAAAAACACGGGGGTGCTTAACTTTTTTCCAGGTGTATATTAATGTATACACTAGAAATTACAGCCCTTGACATATATATATATAGACAAAAACAGGATGAATACCAGAAACTCTACAGCTGTTTTATTTTTTCCTAAACAACTTCCACCCATCAGTTAAGTTCACACTAAAACATTACAAACCACCCCACCCAGAACAAGTCAAATTGGAGAATGAAAGAGAATAAATTGAAACTGGTTCACGCTGAATGTCATTCAAACAGCCCAAAAGTACCTTAAAACACTACTGTTACGAAACGGATACCCCGAATATTACATCGACAGTGTTTACAAGTCACAAAACAAAAACAGCAAAAAAACATTACAACAGTAACAGACCCAAAAACAAACAAACAAAAAACATACACGAAAACACCCACAATGAACATTCCTTTCATAAACAACACACTCACAACCAAGATTCATAAAACCATTAAACAATCCCAACTGACGATCACCAGGTGAAACACTGAAAGAACTATTAGTTTACTCTTCATACTCACAAACAAAATGTGCTAAAAAACAATGTTAAGCCGGAGAAAATGGAACAGAACAAATGTGCCACATCAATAACAATTCTATCAAATCATATATGATATATGTTGATACGCATATACAGGAGAAACCGGAAGACCTTTTCACACGCGCATTTCAGAACACATGGGTGCATTATATACGTCTGACCAACACAAAACATTTTCTATACAAACATGGTATCCCAAACATAAAAAATCAAAACCCATTTCAAGTTTCTATCTTATATTTTATACAATTTAGTTAGGAAGCCTAATAAATTACAGTGGATTTTTGGTGTAATTTATAATTTTTTTATATTCCAAAATCCTGATATAAAGTCTAAAAAAAATATTTTTTTCCATCTCCACATGTGAATATGGACGAGGCTTAGCAAGTATGGCTCACGAGTGCAAACAAGGACTTCGTAGCATCGTAAGTAGTAGAGATCATTGTTTCCCAAATATTTTTTATTTACTGTTTTATGTTTGAAGAAAACCAATTGACATTTAAGTATTTATTTGAAAATATTAGTTTTATATATATACATATGTAATGTATGATAGCCAATATGTTACTGTAGTTTACAAAGTAAGAACTTGTGTTATTTTTCTACTCGTTTACACTGAGGTAGAATAAAAACCAATTATAAAAACTAAAGACTTGGCAATTCAGGAAAAGTTTATTTGTGTAATTTGTGAAAGTCTAAAACATAAATGTATTACTAATCAACTGATGAACACATGAAAATGAACATCTTTACATAAACACATTGTTGAACTTGCAGTTTGCTGGTGAATAATTTGTTTCTCAAGTACCATCAAGAAGGATAAGCCAAGAATACTAGCCTAACCAAAACGAGCAGGATTTATATTACTGGAAACTACACATTTAGTGGTTACTGTGTAAACATGATAATATAGGAAACAGGATATTCATAAGCCCTTTACACACATTTACACATATACCAACGCTAAATCCCGACCACCAAATTAGAGAGTGTAAACTCTGACCATAAGTATCAGGTTGTCAAGAAATTAATGTCGCTTTTTTTTTAGATGAAGAAACCTGAACAACTTGTATATCAAAAC